GTCGATGTACAGGAAACAGGCAGGATCTGTCGGGATTGTGGTCGTCCGCAAGACCTTCTATCCCCGCTAGATAGGTCCCGTCAAGCTTCCTCCACGACATGTTTCGAATATCAAAGGTCTGTGATCGTATTTCCTCGAGCACGCCAGCTCTTTCCAACACTCTGAGATGTGTCTGTCAGCGCGCAGAACAAAGTTGATACAATTCCAACGTACCGTACTGCAGGAGACCCGTACGATATTCCACGTGGACGCTGGTCTACTTGCGCCAAAGCTTCCAGCACAACGACTTTGACGCCGTGCTTAGCAAGGAGCAGAGCCAACGTCAAGCCGGTTGGACCGGCACCGACAATGACTACCTCTGATAATGGAGCGCTCATTTGTTCTGGAAGCTCTTTGATTGATCCCATGGCCAAATTCCCAGATCTAAGCTGTCACCGTTTGCTGGCTTGCAAATCCATGCACCCCCTCCCAGTGCATCATATCGGTCTGCCTTATCAGTAGACCCTAAATACTCTCTCCAGGCTATTTGGTACAGCTGCTAGTATCTTGCAACCCGCGTCCGTAGTCGGAGTTCGGCATGTGAAGGTCCCCGTTTCAAATCACCGTCCAAACTCCGCTTTCCGTGCTGCTCAACGGACGCATGTGTACACCAATCATATAACATCAGGCGAATTATGGGATGATGAACTCTACGTCTCGGCAATAGTGTTGACGGAGAACATCCATGACGGGGTGTCTGTCAGCGAGGTTCTTGTAGGAGACTCAACTTCGAATACTAAATGATCCGTGTCATGGACAGGATTATTGATAGGGTGTTTTATCAGAAGGCAACACAGTTGGGATTATTTCATTTCTAGCACAGGCATCCTGTCTGAATTCCGTCCCGACGACCGGTGAGTCGAGGGTGATCGCTCCCCCAGCTCGCGCGAGCCGGGAGTGACCAAGGGCGGCATCACCCCTTTTCCTGATCGGATGGGGAGCCGCGAGCAGTTCAACCACAGCTTGGCGACTCAAACTGGACTTTGAACCGATATCAACGAAGAGGATTATGGGCTCTCTAAGAAAGATATATCATCACTGGCAAAGAAGAACAAGGAAAACTTATGATAACGATATCAAAGACAATAAACAGAGACTGCCCATGAGTAGAAGCTCTAACTATGCAGTGATTCCGCCAAAGGCGCAGCCCTGTCCCTCAGGCTCAAGAACACTCTGTTCACGACTTATCGCCAGCTTGAATTTGCCAGAAGACTTTATCATTCTGTATCTACACGAATATGTGCTTGAAACCGGAACTCGCCGGTCGGGAATCATTCATGCAGCACCGGTGTCTTTCCTTTGTACCCCCATCACCTCAATTGTTCGAATGCCAACCTCTCTCTCTCTCTTCCCAGCCCGATCTCAATGTTGGAAGCCTTGATCTGATCGAGGGGCTGGCGTACGAGGCACATGACGACGGTATCCCGCACTCGCATAAGGGCCAGCTGTGATGTTTGATCCCCCGGATACAGGCTGGTAGACCTGAATACCTCCGATGAGCCAGTAAGCCTCTTTGAAAGCTTGCGGGTTGTTGGCCACATAGTCCTGGCACGTTGGAGCCAGCGCCGCGCATTCAGAGGTCGCCCAGTCCCCATCCGTCCAGTCTCCGCATAGGGCGATGTTGACGACAATCCGCAGGTTGGAAAAGTATTCAGACAGCAGGCCACCGTCCGCGGACATGAAATGGGCGTCGGGCACCCTCCACGTCTCTGGATCTGGACTACCGCTAAAAGCGTCTGCGGGGATCTCGTCGCGGGCAAAGTTCCAGATCGAGATCCACTGCGGGCCATATTCGGTCGCAAGGACGCCTCCGCCGTTGTCGTTGAATGCCTGTCCGAAAGAATTGTTCGCTCCGGACACCGCACAGCCGGGGTCGCCGGGGATGTCAGCACTGCAGTCCAGGCTCGTGAATGTCCCTCGCATCTGCATCTGTGTGGCGTTCGCGACGCTGGGATCCGAGATGTTGGAGATGGTGAGGTGGGCTTTCGTGTGCAGGACCATCTTGTTGATGGGCTGCAGCGAAATCCCTTCCATGATGTCGATTTCTCCGTCATCCGGCCACTGAGGCCCTACCAGCCAGTATGCCGGCCACGATCCGCAGATGCCTCCAGGCATATGTCTGATATCGGCGATGTGCAAGGATTGGTTGAAGAAATCTTTCGACTGAATGCGGGTAGACTGCCTGCCGTCCGGAGCAATGTTGGATGAGTCAACTCCGAGATAGACCACGTTCTGGAAAACGTCGTTTGACGCGAAGCCCGCTAGTCCAGTACTGTTGGCCCCGGCCAGATCCTGGTACTTCACAAACCCGTGCGTCGGATCTGGATCTGAGAAGAAGTCAAATTGATCGAAGAAGTCGGGACCGGAGTAATTTTTGGAGAGTTGATATTGCAGAGCCTCGCAAACTCCAATGAAGAGTCCCGCGAGTCCAAGTGCACCAAGCCACATTGTGTTCCAAAGTTTGGTAGAGAGGGTTTCGTGTTTGATGGCTGCGTCGCTAGCAGAATTCTGCAGTTGTAATATGCGGTATATTGGAGCTGAAATTGGCCAAAGGCAATCTCGCAAATGTTTGTCTTTGAAGATGGAGAAAGAACGGAACCTACCTGCAGAACAGCTGCCCAGATATAGAGCCTATAACGACGAACAAAGAGCAATCATTGTCACAGGGCAGTCCAAAGAAATAAAGAGATATGGTACTGTGACCCGGAGTGACAATGAAAGAGATAGCGTTGTCGTGGCGCTTTGTCGAGAGCTTTATATCAAACAAATGGTCATCTGAACAAACCAGCTGTTGTCCAAAGCAAACGGTGTTGTTCTTGTGACCCAATACGAAATTGAAAGCCGGTTTGCATGGTGTGCCCTGTTGCACTCGAGGTGATGCAATTGTTTTTACACCTCGCCGTCCGCAGCGAGCAGCAGGGCATCAGTTCTGGCATGACGTTGTGCGGGCGATATGTCCAAGTACTCACTTCAGTGATGAACACCTGCTGTCGATTTTCTATCACCTGCACTGTCGATGCCCAGCACGCCGGCTTCAACGCCACAATATGATTCGGTGTTAAATGTGCCATGGTTCCTTCAGGGGGCTGCGCTGAGGTGATCTGGCCGTCGTTCGTTGTGGTCGTTCCCAGTTGCCGAGACAGTTTTGCTACTCTTTTCACACGCTCTTCATGGGAAAAGGAGAACAGCCTTTGCTCCAAATGCGAAAGGCCGCCGTGGGGCCTTCTCAATGCAATCAGAGATCGGAACAACGAGGCTGTGTTCGAATACCTCGAAAAAGGGGCTGAGCCAGGCGGACATGCTCTGTAGTGGGCCCCCCACCCTCACAACTCTTCGGCCTCGATCTATTGCTCCTAAATCCACGTTGCATTCGTTGTCTTCGCGATGCCCTGGCGAAACTTGTTTTTCCACCTCGTGAATGGTGGATGAATGCATGCTTTACCGCCTATCTTGTCACTGAAGGCATTTCTTGTAAACGCTACGACGTAACGCCTAGTGACTATATCCGGGCGGAAAGATCCACGGCTTTGGATCTCAAGCATTGATCTCTTGATTTCGCAAGTTCTCCTGAAGCGTCTCGACTTCCTCCTTCGAGAATCCCAGCTCGGCGAGCACGTATCGCTCGGCCCAATTGGTATCTCCTATCTTCCCATCTCCTGCATCTACTTCGCCGTTACCGCCCCTACCATACAGCACTCTTGCATCTTCCAGAAACTTCAACATATACTTCTCGCTCACATTACTAAACTCTCTCACTCCAGGTGTATCCTCCGTCCATTCAGGCTTCCACTTCTTCACAATTGCGGTCAAGAACTCCTTTTGAGGTTCGATGCCGATCCTGGACAGAGCATAGTCGAAAGCGATATCATCATCTGGAACGCCGGCTAAAGCAAGAATCAATGCTGCAAGGACACCGGTGCGGTCTTTGCCCGCTGTGCAATTGAAGAGAATCGCCGAGTTTGGGTGGACGAGTAAATACGTAAGCACTTGGCGGAAGGCCGACTTGAAGATGGACAGGGCTTCAAGGTATTGTTTACTGTAGCCACGGGAGCCACCAGTCCCGAGGTCCGTACTGGAGGGGTCAGGGATGTAGTCTGCAATGTTCAGTTCGGCAGGCGGTGAATCGAATGCGAGTGAGACGATTTCAACGTTATGATGCGGCTGAAAGGCCGGCATGGGGAAGGCTTTCTTCTCTCCAGCTGAGCGAAGGTCGAAGATTGCTTTGATGTTGAGGTCTTCCACAATATGTCTTTTGCCTTCGGCAGTAAGGTCCCACAGTGATCCGGAGCGGTAGACTAAGCCTCCTCGTAGGAGGGAAGGATGAGCTAAAGTTCTTGTGTTGAAGGTGCCAGGGACGAGAGTGAATGGAGCAGTTGACAGAGCCTTGGCCAGTTCTAGTGGTGGAATGGGCTCGTCTATAGGCGTGCTGATCAAGGTCAACAGAAGATCTTCTTGAGCCATTGAGCACTGGTTATCGGGGCCAATACTGTGCAGAACCCTTCTCGACGGCGATGACAACAACGACGACGATGAAGACAATATTCTATACTGAGGAATGAGTATGAATGGACGGAGAGGTATGAGAGATCAAGCCGCGTGCTCTTATACCAAAGTTGGCATGCAGTGGCCTTGGCAATCATGACCCAAAGCGAATACGATCGGGTCTGCCGGACAGGGTACCTTACCCGTGGGAAAACGTTTTTGCACAAGGAAGTTTTCTGATGGCTGTATGCTGGAGGAGGACGAAGAGATCAGGCTTGAGCAAGGGACTTTCAGATTGATTTGAGGAAGCGGAGTCGCGAGATGTCATGACTTTGGGGCAAATTGACATGCTGACGCTCACCCAAGAGGTCGCTCGACGAGGTCGGAGAACTACGATGCAGACTTCCTATTGAGCATCGAAGCCCGGTGGGAAAGAAAATTTGTGGACGAACTCACAGACAATGGAATGAGTGCGGCGGCACAAAACTCGAAGTATCCGGCCACTGAGGTTACTTCCTCTGACCTTCAGCACAATTCCCTCCTACCCACGAGAAAGCTCGAATTGGTCAAGAAGCGCGCTCACTCCCACCCTAAGAAATATGACCCATTGCAAATCCAGTGGCAATGATATCTTTCCCAAATACGAATTTCATCCTCGCTGATAGTCTGTCATGGCTCCGCCCTGCGGCTTGCGGTTTACATCCGGTGGCTCGAGATCGTATGTATACATGTTCTCAGGATCGAACTTCTCTTTTCCCGCGCCGTATGACATATTTGCTGCTCTTTGATCCGGGGGTAAAGACGACCCTGGCGACGTGGATGGGGGGTCAAACTCAAACTTGGTCGCTGCTTCTTCTACCCAGACTTCCATTTGCAGCTCTCCTGCTTCAACTCGACGGACCGGGTGGGTTCGTGCAGACGGAGAGGTCGGTTCTTTATCATTTCCTTGACGTCTTGGGGTCGAAGACGTCCGAGACGCCTGTGGTTCTGCAGCAATCCATTTCCGCTCCTCCTTCTCAATTCGGCCTACGGGACGGTCAGCCCGATCCTTTACTTCAATAGCCAACGTGAAGCTGCATTCAGGAGCACCAGGCCCTTCGGGGAGAGGTCTAAGTCGGGCTGCCGATGTGCTGATCCGGGACAAGGTGGCTCGAAAGTTGGCTTCTAGGTCAGCGAGATTGACTTGGTTGTTCAGTAGGTCGCCGTCATCTGATGGGGTGGACTCGAACGGGATGTCGACGTCATCGTTGACGAGGGAAGGGAAAGACCGGAGATCAAACGTCCAGCGTTCGAGGACGCGATTGCCATCACATTCATAGATGCATAGTAGAACCTTTTCGACAGTGTTCTTATCGAGTTGGTTGCGGATTGCGGACACGGCATCATTGACCCACGCACAGACTGCGGGATGACGGTTCTGGCGAACGGGATAGTTGTAAGCTCTTGCAGAGAGAAATGAGACCGGAGGGTAAATCCGGCGCAGATAGAGGATGTGGTGAGTTGCAACCGTGAGGAAAGAGGTGAGAGTGTCGAGGAGGGCACGACGCGTAGACAAGAAGTTTGACACCGTAGTGGGATTCGGCTGAGGACCGGCCATGGCGGTGATGCCCCAGCCGCCGCCTGTTATACCCAAAGATCCCCCAGAGTAGAAGGTCCGGCGCTGAAGTATACTAAGGTAGCGAGACGAGAAGCAGTACGAGGAGCAGATAAGAGGGAGGAGAGGCGAGCCACTATTTGATCTGGCTTCCTTTTCAGACCGTTGCTGATATTGCTTCGCATTTCGCCCTAGGAATAGTAAGTCTCTCAATCAGTGCTGTTGAAGAGCTGTATAACCGCGACATGTCAGATTCACACGTCAATATCATGGGGATGAAATCAGGCAGACAAAACACGCCAAACGCGCCAAGATCATCACGTGGTATGCGCGCGGATCGCCACGTGATTGAATCTTCCGCATCTCGTGACTAGCAGGACCACCAACAGATATAATATCTATTATAGCTAGTCTTCAGCCGAAGGCATGAGAATAGCGCTAGTAACCCCTTTGTTAATTATTCAATGACATATACAAGTAGGTAGACGGGGGACCCTAAAGAATTCTTTTTGTTCCTCTATTGAGTCGTAGGCTAGCTTAAGAGGGGTCACCCCGCCCGCCACCCAGCCATAATCACCAGCCTCCTAGCTGAAAGCTTCCGCAGCCAAACAAATAAAAGGAACTCAAGCTCGTCGCTGTGAACGCAGCATCAACAACAACCCAGGAATCATCAACTTCCCTCAAAGTGAGCGAGCGGCCACGATTCGAACAATTCGACAACAATGACGACGAATGAAGCCAAGGTCGCCGCGTGCGAATCCATCATCAATTACGAGTTCCAAGACCCCATTCTCTGTCTGCAAGCTCTTCAAGCTTCCGGCCATGCGATTTGGTGGCATCATGGCTTCGTCCGCGTCTACAAGAACGATAGGCTGGCGGTCTTTGGGGATGCAGTAGCCAAGGCGGCCGTGTGTCGAAGATGGTTTGACAGTGGCCGAAACAAAGGTCGGAATGTTCGCATCCTCACCGGTGGCTCGGGCTGATCTTGTAAAAGGCCAATGGACTCAAGTCGAGCAGGCGCTGCTGGGGAACAGCAATCTCAGCGCTGTCGGCCGCAGACATGGTCTGCAGGACTGTGTCATCTTGAACCAGGGCACGGTCTCTGTCTCCGACAAGACCATGGCGACCACCGTCGAAGCCATCTTGGGCGCGGTGCTCATTGACGGCGGAAACGAGGCACTGGGTGCAGTCCTCATCACACTCGGCCTAACCCACCCATTGCTTCAAGCGGTAACGTTCTATCTTCCTGTCCTCCTCTACAAGCAAGATTGCACACCTCTCTCTGCGCTGACTGAGTTCTTAGACCGGACGTGAGGGGATGTCGGGTCAGCTACGAGGCGGCCTCATTGCTCGGTTGCGGATCAGTTCCTTCTGCATGTGATGCTTGCCGGCAGTCCTGTGGTTGTCAACAGGCCTGTCCAGCCGTGATCGCAGGGTCTTAAGTCCGGATTCATGCATTAGCAACTGATTCGCAACGGAGCTCTGAGGCCGCCTCGCCGGTGACCTCACATCCCCTTACGCCAAGGTCCCTTGGGGTGATACGGCATAGTCACACGCGACTGGCCGGCGGTCGCGAGCATCGGCACCAAAGGTTGGACACCTTTGCCGTATAAAAAGGCAAGATGCCAGACCTGCCCCATGGGGGACTGATGATGGGCGCGCTACACTGTTGGATTGCTACTTTTCAAGGCGTTGTTGTCCTAACACATCGACAGGAGCAGGAATAGGGCTGCCATATTTGACAAGACACATCAGGGAGACGGGTTCCGGAGGCGAGCAGGAAGTGGATAGATGGTGAAGGAGGCGGGTTCAAGAAGGAAAGAATGCTCACCGAAAGTGTAGTAGGAATGCTGAAGCTGGGTTATCCGGCTCCGATTGACCGCAGTACTCTCATTTATGAATGGCATCAATCGAATGTTGAGCGAGTGCCTTCCCACCACATCAACGTCTTTTTACACAAATGGAATCCATGTCCACATCTTCCAGCTCTAGACTGTCGTTATACTCATATCAATGTCGCGGTCTCCACAAAGAGATAGAGTCTTATAAGAGTCTTAGTCTAGGGGTTAGCAAGGGCTATCTAGAGCGTTACTACGAGATATAACTTAATAGAGGAATATAGTAAATTCTACCCAGGTCCTAGTGACTGACTATCTAACTATATATCTTCGAGTAATTTACGAATATGTCCTTCACACTTTTCTTTGAACAAAACAACACTTAGAGCACTTGGAGCGAGTTCTGGACTAAACCTACACATGGTGCCGCTGTAGTTCATCATTCTTACAGGATAAGAACTACTGTTGCATTGAATAGCGCGCTCTTATATCGGAAGGGAGAAGCAATAAAGATCCCCTTTTTTGATTATAGGCTACCTTGAACTAGCTGAAGTCCCACAATATGCCAAGGGATCACAAACTCTGCGTAGTAGTCCTGGAGCCCGTCAATGCAGTCCCGGAATGTTTGCTTTTTCTCAAAGTCCTCATGATGAGCCTGAACGCCATTAGCTTGCACACGTAGTAGACCGAAACGCGAGGTGTACGTACATCCACTGACTTCCAGTTGATCAAAAGCAGCTGGTTTTGGGGATTTTCCAGCAAGGGACTGATGAAATGTCCGTCGCAGCCAGGGTCGTTATCTAGGATGGGAACGACGATGTTTTGAAACCGAGAATAGTAGCCCTTTACACCGCCTTCGACGACTTTGGTCAGGGCAACCTCAATAGCGGGTGATTGAAGTGTCTTGGCCAAATGCTCCTTGTCATTAAGCCCCTGGGGTTTGATCAACGCGTGGTTCTGCCATTCAATCTTCCGCGCATTCATTGCAGGCTGGATGACTTTGTGGAACTCGGTGTATTCGGAGCTGGTGAAGAAGGCGTGACTTGCCTCCAGGCTCTCCCACAAGAGCAGGGCAACTTGGGTGTGGCGGTCTTCATGCTTTTTCCCTCTCCATACGGCCTGCAGTCCGTTTGCCCTGCTCGTAGCTCGTCAGTCAAGCTCGCATGCAACCGATGGGGATTCAACTGTATTGTGCAGACCTTTGTAATATGCCAAAGGCCGGAGCTAGGTCTTTGTTGATCTCGCCATCAGTGTGCACCGGTCGATGAGGCACTATAATCAGCTGGAGAACTTGTGATTGGTCTGCCATGGCGTTTAGGGAGTGCCTTGCACAGTCGTCTGATTTACAGAATGATCACGGGCAAGGCAAAGCATATCACTGCAGCCCTCAACAAGGGAAGACACGACCAGATTTGCCTTGACTGATTGAAATAGTCGCTCTTGTGGATCTCAAGCGAGAGTCTGACGGACTGCGAGGGTTTCCAAACCCCGGTGTCCTCCGCATTTCGACCGCTAGAGTTTGTCTACAACAAATTCAGCCGAAATCAGTCCGCCCCACTCGCAATATGGCCATGTCGCCGCGCTGTGGTAGAACGCAAAGGTTTGGGGACACGTGGTGGCGGGCAGAGTTCAAGCTCCTCTACCACCGGTGCCTCCTATAAGATCTCTTCCGTAGGATAATTCCTCATTTGACAAGGGGTATTTCCGATGCTGGAGTCTGCTTCAGATTACGCGTCACCAGGTCAATCCTAGAAGCCAGCCGACAGTAGAGAGAACTTCAGAGCCTCGAGGTGTCGACTCTTACCTTTGATCTTGGGTGGGTATATCTGCGCTGCACCAATAATGTGCTGGCTTTTGCTTCTCATTTGATTACTCTGATTGCACACCGAATGGCATATCTTCAATGCCCAAGGACATTGCAGTCGCGCACAAGCTTGTTGATGTCAGTAGGCATTTCGTGATACAGACATTCAAGTCAATGAGTCTACCTGTTAGTGAACTGATTGGTTAGTACTTCTCTCCTCCTTAGCACTTATATTGTATAACAGTGTGTATTCATTGATGTCTTCTTCCACCGGGAAACAGACTACTGCACTCTTCTATCTTGAACAATATCGAGATTGCCACGTGCAATGTTTTCCTGTAGGCCTTGAAACACAGCCTTCTGCACAACCTTCACTACTCCTGGCGACCATCTCACGCTTCAACACTTTCCACTTGCTTATCGCCAGTCTTCTCAAACTCGACCTGGTTGACATCGATTGCAGAGATCTCTACCGCTACATGGTCTCCGAACTTGGCTCCAATTTCTTCTAAAGTCAATCCAGCAGTCTGTTCCCGGTTTGTCAGCGAATACTTCTCCGGGGGATGTGGAATCTTACCTCAGGACAGTACCAGGCGAGAAACGTGTTGGACACGAGACAGACCACGATCATCACAAAGTAGTATCGCCATCCGATGGTGGCAAAGGCTTCGGCCGCGGGGCTGTTATATGCGATTGTCATCAAGAAGAAAGAGACAAAGCCGATCGTCGCACCCTCACTTCGGAGATGGGTTGGCCAGATTTCGACAATGTAGGTATAGCCGGGGCATTCAATCAGCAACCCAAAGATGAAAACGAAAATGAAATACATCGCAGTAGCTGCCTTCAGACCTGCTTCATTCGAGGATCCGATGTAGTACTTCTGGAGGACTGCCTCGATAATCAGGCAAGCGGCGCAGAGGTAACCACCCAAGGCTGGGATCGTGTTAGTTGGGCAAGATGTATGTGTCAATACAAAGACACTCACCAAGCTGCTTCACTCGGCCGATTCGTTCGATGAGAAGACCACTGAGCCAGGTTCCAATCGCGCATACTGTCACCCAGGCGACAGAAAGCCCCAGTTGAAGGAGGTTGCTGTATCCCAAGCCTGCAAAAAGCTGTGGTGCGAAGTTTGCGATGACAACAATGCCGGTCGACTGTCCCATGACCCAAACTATCGCTCCGCAGATGGCTCGCTTGCGCATATGAGGGGTTTTGAATATATACCAATACCCGGATGGCAGATACTAGTGATGTTAACATCAATGGAGCCTGCTTTGAATCATGCACCGTACCTTTTCTTCTTCAATCTGTGCCTTGATCTGGATATATTCCATACGTGCAAGTGTCGCAGTGGGGTCTCTCTTTGACTTGTGCAACTTCTGAAGAACCGCCCAGGCGTCGTCGGCTCTTCCGTTATCCTGGGGTATGCTGTCAGCAACAAAGTATCGTTGTGCGGAGGCGCTGATAGTACTGACCATGAGCCATCGAGGACTTTCTGGAATGAAATACATGGTCACCACCAAGAGTAATGCGACTCCGGTCAGAACTATATATTGCAGGCGCCACTGATACGAGTGATCGACAAAATGGAACGCGAGCGCGAAGAGAGCCGATACAATGTAGGCAGCGGTGATGGAGATCCCCTGGAAACTGACCAGAACACCCCGCGTATGAGCCGGCGCAATCTCACTCATGTAGACTGGCGTGTTCGCGATGATTATCCCAGCACCAATTCCATTGAGGACGCGGGCAACGAGGAACATTGCGATGTGAACGCTGCCGGCCTGGAGAGCTCCAGCTACCATGACAATGATAGCCGCCGCCATATTGCAAGGCCGTCTCCCGAAGCGAGAAGATATGGGGCTCTGGATCACACTTCCAATAAAGCCTCCACCAAAGAACCTAGCCAGTCAGGTCAGAGAGACTCAAGAAGCCAACGGGATGAGTCCTTACGCTCCAAGCATTCCTCCCACACGAGACGTTGGGTCCTTCATCAAGAAGTACTCAACAAAGGAGGTTTGAGCGATCGTCCCAGCAATTGCATTGTTAGAATAGCCGAAGTTGAAACTGGCGGTTGCTGCTGCAAGTATTGTCACAATGTTGATCCAAGTCGTGTGCGGTTTCAAAGCGGCGTGGCCATCCCCGAGCTCAGTAGTGGGAGACATGGTTTCAGCTCTTTGCAGGTAGCAACTGCAGTCTGGACAAGGAAAGGTGATGTATACCAGAGAAGCAGAAAAAGAGAAGTGATGAGTTTAGGAATAATCGGCGCTTAGCTCGCTACTAATATCCTGGAGACTGGAGACTGGGACGGGATCTTTGTTGCTCTCCGCAAGGCTAAGGAATGGACGAAGTTGGGGGCGTCAGATACCAGAGCTCGGAAAATCTCCCCCAAATTTGGGATTTAACGGGGTACCCCAGGGAGAAGAGGGAACGGATGTCCTTGTGGACCATTGAAAGGCTGCACAGAGATCGCATCTGTCATATGTGGGGAGATCTAGACTCGCCTGGTGGGAGATATAGGCCGCTGAAAACGTCTTAAATACGCCATTTGGGAGATTCCGGCCAAATCGCTGACTTTGGATACCGAGTATGCCATCCAATCCTATAGCCGGTCTTGCCAAATACCTCTGGATACCTATTCTTGGCCAGAATAATGAGCAGTGCTGCGATAAACGAGGATTGTACTCGAGGGAATCGCGATGCATCTCAAAAGTGGCTTCTTCACTGTAACCCGAGTGCTCCAGGTCTCCAGCCATACTCTTCGCGATCTGGAGAGTACAGGAAGGGGGTGGCTTGGTGTCTATCCCCACAGCTACAATGTGTACGTTGAAACAGGAAGCACTAGCCACTATTAGGATGGGTCTATGACTCTCATCGCGGACTATATATCGGCCTGATTATGACTCGTGCATGCCGGAAGAACCCTACCCATCGGTGCTTCTTCAGCTTCGAATGGAGTATATTCCGGGGCTTAGATGCGGAGACGCATGCAAAGCACCAATTATCACGGATTACCCCATATGCTAGATTCTGTGGCATCTCCATGGGGTGTTCATCCTCGATAGCTCCGTACACAAATTTCACATCTCATTGTGCTTCCATCACGTCTCCATGAATGTTTTGCTAACCGTGCATTGAGCGCGCAGCAATAGGTCATCCGATGCTGATCTTCTAAGGAAACTGCCGACTCTTGCAGGGGCTATAGTAGCGGTAGGATGGCGAAAGTGAATACTTGTATATAGTCGTTGCGGTGTGGACAAGAGTTGCCATTACCCCCCTCCTCTTATGCTCGACATCTGTCTGAGACGAAGCC